TGCTTTGCTGTACAGCTTAGACCAAGGTCAGCAGTCATAAACATGCTACAACAGAGATTATCTTTAAAATTTAGCACAATATTACTTAGCTCATGGCTGATGTTTTATTTGTTGTCGTATCTGTTGACGTTGGTTGTATCTTCTGCGCTGCCTTTCCCGTCGGCCTTGGACGATGAAAATTGGACAGTCAGATACGGTCCTCATGATTGACGGCCCTGTAGTCCTGTCCTACTCGCTTCCCTATGTGATTTTTCCAAGCTAACAAACTGGGAAAGTGACACAGCTCTCACTGCTAGCAACCGATAGGTTCCCGCACACCTGACACACAGACAAGGGTGACCGTGACCAGAGTAGGTTTAGGTACTTTGCCCCAGCAGAACAGTGACAATGTCCAGATTCACGATCATCTTGGCAGGTCTGCTCCTTAGCTCAGTCACCTGGTGGCATTGAATCAGTCATTTCAGATGTTCTTTTAGGATCAACATGGCCTTCAGCAATGAAGCAGCTTTGACTGAATTTTACTTCAAAGTCCTGCAGAGAAGTAAATGAGAGGTACATCTTAAAGAGCTGCTGTGGTATGACCATAGTGCGTCGGATGCGTTTAGCTAATCAAGGAAGCAGCATTGCTGAATATAACCGGCATGCAAATAAAGCAAATTATATAGTTATCAGGCTAATGACCAGGCTACATATAGGTGTCATTCTAACAACAAATAAGCATAACTACATACAGCTGAGATGCTCAGCTGTACATAGCCAGTAGGCTAACAGACAAAAAAGCATGACTGCGTACAGTCGTCATGCTAATAAAGGAAACAACATAGCTGTATATAGCCGACAGGCTAATAAATGAAAAAGCATGACTGCGTATACAGTCGTCATGCTAATAAAGGAAACAACATAGCTGTATATAGCCGACAGGCTAATAAATGAAAAAGCATGACTGCGTATACAGTCGTCATGCTAATAAAGGGAACAGCTGCGTATCACCACCACCTTCATGCTAACAACCTAAATAGCGTAGCAGCATGTAGCCAAAGTGCTGCTAAATATAGCAGTGGGTGCGTTTACTGGCAGATCAGAGATGGATCGGGGGAAAGCAGGCCAGAGGAGCAGAAGAATAATTAGGAAAAAGGGAGGGAAAAAAAACACAAATTGTAGCATAAGCCAGACACCAGATTAGAGAGATTAGAGAGGAAGGAAGCAGCTGTATATTGATGAGGCTAGGAGGGTAAAGTGAATAAATATGACGGTGGGTCAAAATCCACTGCGGAGCGAGCTTCAGATACACAGCGAAGTGACGAGGCAGACTGGGCCCGTAGATCCGCGACCTGCTGATGCCAGTTGGACCCGCTGGGTAGATGGGAGGCCTGGGTGGGGGCACCTCTCCTGGGTCCTGGGGGGAGCCTCCTGATCTCCTTTAATCCATCCTACTGCCTTCTTTTATAGGCCAGTGGGGCTGTGCGGAGCAGACGGACAGCTTAGGAGCAGAATTTGAGGCGTAGGGACTGTAAAGGCACGAGGTCCAGCGAAAACACGAACGCGAGGCGAGAGCCACATCCAAGTGGAGGTTCTGACGGCCTGTAGCTCCAGGTTGCCAATACAGGAGCAGGACCGAGCTCCTCAGACGCTCCTTTGTACCAGCTGCTGTTCGGCAGCTCGACGCCTCCCTCTTCCAGCGGCTCCCACACCAGCCGGCAGGGAGGAACTGACTGAACCCTCTGTCTCTAATCTAGCAGCCTTATCTGTACCCCTCCCCGGATATCTGGTTCTTTTCATCACTGCTGCCTCTTGACTTTATTTATACTATATTTGCACAGTATATTCTGTAAATGCTGTATACTGTAGATTGTTTGTAGCCTATATATATGTCTTTATTCCTATTTTACTTTCATCACCATCATTATTTTCTCTCCATTTCGCCTGGTGAAGCTCGTGGTTCGATTTTATTTTAATATTGTCATCCTCGGTCTGTATATCCATGCTGCTGGACTAAGAACCTTCTCCCACTGGACTAAGATAGATGCTGATTTTCTGTTTTGAACTAGTAATGAAACCCATGTCTGTCTCTCTCTCTCTCTCTCATTGTATATGTATATATGTCTGTGTGTGTGTATAATATATATGTAAAAGTTGTGGGGGGGGAACTTTAGACACTCACCCCTCTGTTCAGTGGATTTCTGTCCAGGTGTCCTCAAGAGAACTTGAATATGACCAGGACTTGACATGCTGCCAAGACTATGCAGGACTGTTTGTATTAATAATTTTATTTTTTTTATTTATTTTAGCTTTTAAGTAGTAACATAGTGGAAAACTCGGTTCTATGAGGGTTTCATGTTTAACAGCTATATCGTTTAACTTGGTGGTCACTCTAACAAGTACTGACTGAAGGTATTGACATGACAGGTCCATAAAAAAAGACCCAAATGATTTACGGTACCGTAATTACTGTAATAATCTGGCTCGAATGGCAAACAGGCCCACATGATGTTGAATGAGAGGACAGAGGAAGGGAGATGAGTTTTGGATTTAAGCATGGGGGCAGACACAAGAACACAAAACAGGCATTGAGATTAGGGAAGGGCAACTTGTTCTGAGCTCCCAGGGGTGGGGGTGCGGAGTCTGTTCTGTACACTAGTAACCGTGTTCGGATGACGTTTCCCTGCCCAGGGACGTTCACACCTCCCCAACCCTTCCAGATGAACAAACCTTCATGAGCACGTTTCTTATGGAATGAAAACTGTCAGTAGATACAACCTCCAGATCAGCCAAAGAATCCTCAAGCTTTAAAAAACGGTCTGGGATGTGGGAACTGGAAGGGGGGGGGTTGGTGACCGGTGCCCAGGTAACGTTAAGAATGAAGTGATGAACGATCACGAAAAAAATCACCTCCAAATAACTGAATGTAAATCGATAATAAAAGGTTATATCTTCGTTTTTGTAAGACAAGCAGACAAATAGACATGATTTTATGCCCAACCCCCACCCCCACACCATGGCCCCTCTTTGTTGTGTCCCGCAGTCCATGATCCGGAATGAAAGCCAGCTCACAAAGGGCTTCTCCAGAACCCGTGCTGTCGTTACTCATCCTCGAAATGCCGGTCTGGCTTTGATGCCCGAGCCGGGTGCCATGCGGTGACGAATGCTGTGCTGCGGCTTTTCGGAGGAGGTTCGCGGGGACGGGCCGCGGCGTCGGCATGCCCGGCGTAGCTCTGCCTTTTCCTCGCGGTCGAAAACACTTCTGCTGCCAAAAACAGCAGAACAGCTGGAGCCGGGGAAAATAAAACATGGCTTTATGCACGGATGCGTGAGAGCATGGAATAAGCGGAGACGTGGCGGACACACGGGAATAATCTCTGCTCCGGCATGCCAGCGTTCCCAGAAATGCCGGAATCACGGTCGCACTTATGCAACCTGGACGTGGGCCGATCCGGGCTGGAAAATGATGGGGAGGGGAGTTGCGTCATCTGGCACCTAACCCCCTCGCAGTCAGCGGCCATCGCCCAAACAAAGGTCTGTGTGAGTGAACCTCAGGCTTTCTCCACCCTCCTCGTTAATGGCGCCCCCTGTGACTCTGTGTGAGCAGGATGGAGTGAAAAGGATAAGATCGACTCATTAGCGGGAGCATAAAGCTGCTCTTTCACAAAGTGGCAAGTAAAGAAAAGGGTCTTTGACCGGCCCGGGGACCTGCCAGTTGAGCCCCCCCCAGAGCCTGTCAGCAATCATAAAGATAAATGACCGTGGGTTCCTGTTTGACGGACAGTAGGCAGACTCGAAATACAAACCATGCCAATAGGTGCAATTAGCCCCGTCTGTCACCGCACGCTCCGCAGTCAGACGTGAGCGTAAACAAGACGGTGTGTAAACAAGGGCTCAAGCTACACACACAGACACCTACGCTGCGTTTTAGGATTAGTCGCACCTCTGGGAGGATGTACGCACCTGGGAAGGCGAGGTAAAGAGCGTTATTGCGGCGTCACCGTCGTATGGGGTCGCCGCGTGCGCTTTCTTGGGCGTGTTCTGGCCGGCGGGGGGTGACTTTTCCCGTGGGAAAGGGTGACTTTTCCCATGAGTTGTGGACTCAGACTCTTCTCAGTGGTTGGTGGACACCTGGTAAGAGAATCCAGGGAAGGAGAAACGTCAGAGTAACTACTGCAAGGAGCTTCTACACTGACATCAGGCAGAAGATCCGGGCGGCGGGATAGAAGAAGAGGGCTGCGGAGAGAAGAGACTGCTGGCGTTTGGTGGTAAAATAAAATAGGCTCTTAAATAAAAAGGCTTTGAAAAACGAAAGTCAAAAACCTCTTCAGGAGGGAAGAAAAATATAGTTGTTGCTGGAGGATAAAGGTGTGCAGGAAAAAAAATGGAGAGATGATGTAAAAGAGAAACAGCTTAAAAAGGTCTCCCGTCTGTCACTGTGCTTTGGTACATCCAACACAAACATTTCTTATTTTTTTTTTAGTTAAATTCAAAGTTTTGGTAACTCTGTTAAAAACCCTGGAGGTGTGGGGTGTCCCTCCTAGCTGGGATGCCACAGTGTTTGATCAGTCCCTGTGGACCCCAAACCTCCTCCCCCTCCCCCAGTGCACCGAGCATCATGGCATCAAAAACACTGCGACACATCTCCGGTTAGTCTTTGTCCTGCCACCGGGGGCGCTAGCCCTTTGTCTGGTGGCTTCTGAGAACATTGACCCCGCAGCTGTGCCTGGCTAATATAACCTGAAAGCAGGGTTGGACCGAATGGGCTATGGTCGGCCTCAGAAGATTCCTGGACCTTGGCGTAATTCATACAGAGGGGGCAACCTTATCATTAGCCAATGATATGTTTGGAATTAGTGAGTGACAGAGGCGGGGGCGTTCCATCAGCCAATCAGCTTTCATCAATGGCCAGTGCCTCTGTGACCCCGGCCTTGTATGCACTCCAACTCCATTAAGATATCTAAGATACAAATGGCTACCTCATGCTGTTGGCTTTCTGTTTTTCCTGTCCTCATACTCAGATCCGACGCCGGCGGCCCACTCCAGCCACCCTCTTCAGAGTGACAGAACAGCCGTCCCCAGACGATGACATCACCACACACCAGGTTGATGGACGCCCCCCCCCCCACCACCTTCGTCATATTCCATCAAATTCAAACAGCTGAACCATCTCCAGCGATAGCATGGAGCATTTATATCCTATAATCAGGGTTTTTTTTTAAGGTGGGAGGCCATTAGTGGGGCCATATTTCATATAGAGACGCCAGCCTTACCATTAGCCAATGATATGTTTAGGATTGGTGAGTGACGGGGGAGAGGGCACTCTGGGGGCCAATCAGCTTTCAGCTGGGCCCACCTTGATATATGCCCCTGCTTACAACCTCTTAAAACTCCCATGTTAGCTGGAAGTCAATCAGCTCCTGTCCCTAACAGCATTTACACAGTTAACAAGGAAAGGCTTATTCTGCACACTACTGAAAGCTCACAGAAAGATCAATAAAGAGCACCTTTAAAACAGGCCTGAAACACCCACCTCGTGTCCAGTTCCAAAAACAGCACTTGCCTTTGTAACCACGCCGTATTGCTGTTGCCTGCTTGTGTTTCTGCAGTGGGTCGTGGGAGAAAACGGCGTACTGAAGCCAAAGAGAGTCGTCCCCGGTGTTTACCAGCCCCCTTCACTCAAAGGTGCCTGTCCCAGTATTAGAAGAGAGGGATGTCGAGGGGGAGGGGATGTGCTTGTGCACGTAGAGCGGTCTCTACAGGGACCGGATTTGTACGACTTTTCCCATAATGCCTTTGGAGGGGCTGAGACAGCTTGTGCCTCTGAATCCCGTCTGATTATCCACGGACGTGGCACAGTTCTGCGTCTGTTCTCAGATGCGGGACACTGAAGGATTTTATGGAAGTTAGTACAGGGCCAGTGGGACATCCGTGCAAATTTAGGGCGTGTGAGCATGCGTGTGTATGCATGCGTGTGTGTGCATGCGTGTGTGTGCATGCATGTGTGTGCATTTGAGCCTTACCGACAAACCAGCCTAGCCTGTGCCTAGTATCTTACCAGGTTTTGCTTCATGACTCTCTGTGTGTGTTCGGGGGGGGGGGGGCAGCAGAGGATTAGAGGTAACAACAGATGTGCGGGGAGTGTAATGCTGGACAGCTATGGATCATCCAGGATTACACCACAGCTGGGCCCCAGCAGCCTACCCCACCCTCGCAGACCTGAACAAGCAGGGCTCCCCGCTCACATGCATGGCCTGCGCTTGTAAACATGCGTCGCCGCTGTAAAACATCGTGACTGCGGCAAGCGATTCTCCACACCTCAGTAACGACCACACAAGAGGCGAGAGTCGGAGAGCAAGTTATATAAGTTTGCTCCCATCTTCTGGGAGAGAGTAATCTGTAAGCACCTCCTACGGCCCTGACAGGCTTCCTCGTCACTTTCTGAACACCATAATTCTCTCCATCACAACCTGTAGTGCTCGCCTCTGCCACCCCTACTGGAGGAGTGGAGAACTGCATTGTCCTAACATCAAGGGCCTAAGTGAGATGGGGCAAAATAATCCACACGGACACAAACGTGAAGTAAAGAGCAGTAGGGGAGAGAGACAATGGGATGAATGAAAGACTCCCCAGTCAGAAAACTAGAAAATCCCTAATATCAGAAGAGAGCTTGTGCTGATTCCACATTAAACTCTATTTCTGATTGACATGCAAAAAAATTCACAGCTGATGTTGTTCGCAACCAAAACACAGTCATTGTGCATGGAAGCAAAGCCTGGTGAACAGGAGCCTCACCCCACACCAACCCCCGTTTATCCCTGTGTGTGTGTCTCTGCGTGTGTGTGTGTCTGGGTACAGCTGTGCAGAGGATGGCTCAAGCTCACATGCAGAACCTGGGCATCTGCCCCCCCTTGGAGGACCCCTCTGAGGGGGATGAGAGCGAGGATCACCTTTGGCTGGGAGAGGAGGGAGATGAGACCCAGGAGGTGCTGGTTCCGGTGCCCGGTGAGCGAGGCTGGCAAAGGCCGTCCCGGTCACCCCACGGTGTTGTCGCTTTGCTACCCGATACACTAACGTACTGACATGATAATGATGGTAATATAGAGAGGCAGACAGTTACTGATAAGGGATATGTGATACACAGCATCCTATAACATTAATAACATAAACAAACTGGCAAATTACCCATAATACTTTCTACACTGTCTCCTTAGTGTCCCTCATAAGCCATAAGTGTTTACGGAAACACAATGACGGTCATGCAAAGACACAAACAAATGATGTTATTGTGCAAAGGCCTATGGGGCTTAACTGGCTGTTCCGAGAGCTCCAATCAGAACCCGTCAAAAGAATTCTGACACGCCCCTTCCTGTCTTCCTGTCCAGAACGCCAGGCGGAGACAGGCACCTCAGACAGCCAATCGGAACGGCAGCTGAGGCCAGGGATCGCTGCAGAGCTGTGCGACAACACCGAGCGGGGAGACGATGGAGCGGAAGATGAGGATGAGGAGGGGGATGGGGTGCAGGAAGAAGAAAGAAGAGGCAGGGGGAGTGATTGAGAGGGGGAGGGTGGATTGGGACTGGGGGGTGATCAATGTTCTGACATAGCCAGGGAGGTGGGACAAGGTTCATAGAGTCTGAAATTTGGTTGCCACATAATAACTGAAACTTAAAATCATTTTATAAATATACGGAGCACGTCTTACCTTTTTTCCCGAGGCAATATTTCAGATGTGTTTTTCTTTTTCCCCAGAATGTTTTCCTCCTTTCATGTAAAATATATTTTTTGTGGGGGACATTTAAACGAAGAACAAGAAACCAGGATCTTCAGGAGACGCTCTCGGAGGCCTTCAGCCTGCTCCCAAAGCCTTGGGCGTTCCGAGAATGTTGACACGCCCTGAAACTGTTGCAGATCACCTGCCTCTGTGTTAATATAATATCACAGGAACGTCACCTTTTAGCAATATTCGGCATTTCAGGTCCAGAAGCTGCAAATCCAGACCAAATCCAGTTTTGTTTTTACTAACCAGCTGAGTGACTATAACTCTTTATGCTCAACTGGTTGGTAGAAACAAAATCTTGGCATAGATTTGTAGTTTCTGGACCTCAGATGCCCAACATTCCCTTGTAATTGGCCCGCTCTTGGTTCACTCGAGTATTAAGAACAGACAGGTAGCTGAGGCTCATGAGACACAGAAATCAGTGTTAAATCCGCATCCCCACGGAGCGTGTAAGTTAACGAAACCAATAACGAAACACAAGCTGGGTGCTTCATGGGAAATATGAGCAGATGCTGAATTCTGATCGTACAAAATGCATTGTCTCAGTCAGTTTGATCCTTATCGTTCCTGAGGGGGAAGCTCTTTCTGCGTCACAGAGACAGGCAGGGGCGTCGGGGGTGGGGTGGGGGGGGGGGTATGGATGTCTTGGCAGATTCAGGCAGCCCAGAACTTGACAGGGGCCTTTGAATATGCAAAATTTTACATAAGATTGCATGGGGGGAGGGGGTTGACACTTTGACAGGGGGCCTAAAATGTCTAGGTACGTCCCTGGAGACAGGAGTCAGGCGACCGACGCCAAACAGATGAACGTGACCTTAAGAGATCTCACCCAGTATGTTGACGTTCAGACTCGGCGTGACGTCAGCAATTATGATGCCAAAGTAATTGTAAAAGACACCGTGAGAGGGAAGAGCCCTCCCGTCACACGACATCCCACAAGGATATCGATGTGCCGTAGATGCACAAGGTGGGGGTCGGGTTAGTGTAGCGAATGAGGTTTAACAGTCTAACGGAAACGGGTACAGATGTACTTGGTAGCTGAACCTCTGACGGAGGCTGCGTCCCAAGGCACATGCTATCAGGCCAGTAGGCCGGAAGAAAGGCTTTAATCTGATCTGAAGTGCGATTGGCAGCCGCCGTTGATGAAGGAAGTGGGGCAGGAAGCCGTGGAGGGTGGGGGGTCACACTGCGCCACTGTGGGTCCTCTACCGCTCGCCTGTGGCATGCTGTTATCTGGCAGACAGCAAGGGGGCGCCGTACTTTGCTGTCTGCCGAGTGTGTTTCTGTGGGGGGGGTGACCTGCTCTCTGCTGAGATCTGGCACTGATCTTATCCGTCACAGGTTTGCAGATTCTTGCAGCCTTGGAAGTGGCGACTTAAACAAGGCCGGGCACAGTGACGGGGCACCTTTGCCAGGGGACTTGTAACTCGAACGTGGAGAGACTGGGTGCCGAACATCCCAGCACCAGAGCATCTGCAAAGGTTACGACTGTGCGTTGGGTTCCAAAGGCCCTGACACATTCCAATACCGGTACTGTTTCTGGTTCCAAAGCTGACATTTTTGCAACGCTGCTCTGAGGAAGTGCAGACTCCCCCCCCCCCCAATTCTTTTTCATTAAACTTTTTGTTTTTTTTCCAGAACCTGTACAAATGTAGACAGTTTGAGCGACACTGAGCAATAATAACATAAATGCCTGAATAAATCTCTGGTCCCTGGTTTTATTTTCAGTCGTGTGTGTGAGTGAGTGTGTGTGTGGAGGGGGGGGGGGTATATATTGTGGGAACAAAATGTCTCCACAAAGTGATAAAAACCAGTGATTTTGACCTTGTGGGACATTTCTTCAGTCCCCACAAGGGGAAGCTCATTTTTATAAAGATCTGTGAATGCAATTAAAAAACAAAACAAAATGCCAAAAAAACTCATTTTTTGTTTTGTTACCTGTGGCTAAGGTTAGTGCTGGGTGGGGGTTAAGGGCGTCGTGAATGGGATTAGTAATATTCCCACAGAAATTAATGGAAGGTCCCCATTTAGATAGACAGGCCAACGTGTGTGATAGTGTATGTAAGACACTGCATTGGCTCTTGGGTCTGGGCTGGGGGGGGGGGGGCTTGGGGTCCATACTTTGAACTGCTAATTGTTATACCACAGTGACCAGGGTAGGCATCACAGCAATGAATCCCGCCCCCATTTAATGCTGTATGTTGTCTAGGATAAGTGCCAGGGCCCCTTGTGACCTTGCTCGGGATACGTGATTGGACGGCATATGGATAATCAGCATAAGAGTTAAATCATTTACACAAAAGCATACATTTCCTTACGATCACGTTCCTTTTTAATTCGTAACACAGGGATGGTATATCCTCCTGGGACCCAAGGGAAAAAGTGTCCTTCAATTGTAGGTTATTTGTCTTTGGAGGAAATAAGACATCATACAATTTAGATTTTTCAAATTTATTCTTATTTTAATTTCACAGCATGTCCTCTTTAGCGCACAACATGAAAAAATACGCTTCCCAACATCAGTGAAAAAATAAATGCAAAAATACAATAAATAAATAAATGAATAGGTCGGGTCTCAGAATGATATTCATAGAGTGCCTGTTAGTGCTGCATGAAAGATCTTAACTGTTTTAAAAGCGAATCTGTAAATTAAACTGTATGTAAAAACGTAGAGACTTCCCAGAGAACTCGGTGGGACTACGGATTATCAGGACTGTGGCAGTCATGAAGAGCGTGAGCGCCCCCTAACGTTGCCCTTATAATTGCAACCCCAAACGGCCCCGTTCGGGAACGGCAGGCGTTACTCCTATGCTGCTACAGTCCCAGAAGCTGCGGAAATGTAGCGGAACCGGCCGGGCTGTAATGCACACATGTCTGCGCACTGGACGTTTTCTTTAAGCTTTAAAGAGTCGTCTCTCCAGCTGATGGTGAGTGTTTAGACCCGGGAATTGGCGTGCATGTATGCGCACTGCATTCGGTGACGTAAACAGGAAGTTCTTCAATATAGACACTTTTCACTCACTTGAAATATTTTTAATTTACATACCCCTGCTGTCCGTCAGAGGCTAGTGACCAGCTTCCTTCCAGCCCCCCGGAAGACTCGGCGTCCCGAAGTCATCATGCCGGATCAGGTGAGCCGCAGTTCTCCACAGGAGCCGGATGATTAATTTCGGATAATTTAATATGAGAATGACAGCGTCTCGGTTTACTTGCCTCCTGTGATGCACTGGCGCCCAGTAAGAACGTCGTACCGCTGTCTGCTGCGTTAATTTAACCGGCGAACAGACGGTGCTTTTTGTATGCAGAAACGAAACTATGCGATCGCAAGCGAAATGTAAAATAGATGTGGAAATAAATGATTGACCAGTGCATTGCGGGTAGTTTGCTGAGGAAAGACCCTGCTTTCGGTTTTACATTTTCACGAAGCTTGCGGCAGGTCCGGGGCCCCGGTGGCGGTCTGGGCTTTGCGGGGCGCAGTATCCCAGCCTGGGACGTCAGCCAGCCTTCGGTCTGCAGCGTACGGCGGGCTCACGGTAACTTTTACAGTCCAGACAATGTGCTGAACAGGCTGTAGATTTGAGTATGGACGGTTTGGTCATGTCCCTACCTATATAGCGGGAGGACCGTGCGCGTTTAGGGGGGCGGGGGTTTCAGGGATGATTTGGTCCCTACAAATGCTGAAACCAAACCTACGCCCCAGTGTGGTGGTATTTCCAATGTACTTGCGTGCAGAGGGATATTAATATAACAATCAGCCCATAGTACGTCGTTATCCAAGTGTACTAATCGCTGATATTTCTGTTACGTGAATTACAAACCTCACGATATGCTGATGTGGACTTTTAAAACCTGGGTTCTTGCGCAGTCCGGTACAATGTTCAGAGTGCTTTTTTGTTTGTTTGGGTCTGTGTGTATATGTGTGTGTTTGTGTGTTTGTGCGCGTGCTTTCAGCGGATTCAACCGGCAGTTCTCTGTGGATAACAGCTTGTATGCCTATAATTACATCACTGTGGATTTGTTCCTGTTATATAGTGACATATCTTTTTTACTTATCTTTTTTTTTTAACTTGTTCTGTTTTGATTAATCCCACGTGATGACCTCCTCATTGTTTGTTCTGTTTTTTAGTTTGACCTACTCCATTCCCACCCTGATGACCTCACTCACTGTCCTGTGAGTCTCACTCACTTCTTCCTTTTATCTTTTCTAACACTCTTCTCCCTCCCTGTTCCTATCCATCTGTCCATCCGTCTGCCTGCCGTTTCCATTTATCACTATTTCTGGTCATCATTCATCTATCCATCATCCTTCATTACACGTTTGTCTCTTCATTAATCCATCCGTTCCTGTTCCCGCTTTTATCTGTCCTCCTCTCGTCCTGCAGGCGGTGCCGTGGTTAGAGGAGTGATGAAGAGCGGTTTGGAGCACAGCGAGTGGAAGAGCAGCTCGCTCTTTGCCTCCAGAACCCGGGCGTCTGGGCTCCTGCCGCACCGTTCCCAAGGCGACGGCGGACGGGCCACCATCTCCGCCGTACGCCGCACCTTCTGCCTCTTCGTCACCTTTGACCTACTGTTCATCTCGCTGCTGTGGATCATCGAGCTGAACGTGAGTGTGGATTTCCCTTCCCGCCAGGTCTGCTGTCCTCGTCCCCTGAGTGACAGGACCTGCCAATCGACCCTTGCACGCACATCCCATTTCGTTTTTTGCATGATGCTGCCGGATTTGGGGTCCTACCCAAACCACATGCTTAAGCTAATTTCTGACTGTGGGAGGGGCTAACATCAGACCTGCTTGTCTTGAGGAACAGAGTGTGTTTCACCTTGTTCTCGAGAAGCCCGAGGCCTCTCCCTCACCAAAACCGACCTGTCCGTCTTCTGGCATTCTCCGAGTTCTCTGCGTTGTCCGACCTAGTCCTCCTTTCCTTGCCAGACCACAGACTCTCTCTTGAAGAGCTTGCAGAATGAGGTTGTCCATTACGACTTCAGGACCTCGTTCTTCGACGTCTTTGTGAGTGGAAATGTTCTCGATGTGGTTAGCAGGGTGTTAAAAATGCTTCCTGTATGTGACCCGTTCACAGATACTGTGTGATGCTACGTCAGGATTTATTTAATAGTTTCTGTTTAAACTCCTACTACTCTGACCACTGGTCTCCAGTCAAGAGTCCCGATAATTCTTTCTGTTGCGAACTCAGCAGCAATTTGAAAAGTCTAATTAAAAATCCTCTTGCATATGTTCCAATAAAAAGCGTGGTGTTTCTCTGCGTTCACCAGAAGCACCAGCTGTACAGGTCATCGTATTCTCACCATGTGCTATTTTTCAGTCGGGTGATTTTTCTAACATCTGTTCCGATGACCTTTTGATTGAGGGGGGAGGAAACTTAAGTCTCCATGTGTTTTTTTTTCCCCCTGTTTCTCTAAGCTCCTGGCAGCGTTTAGGTTCCTGTTTCTGCAGCTAGGCTATGCCGCCCTGCGACTCAGGCATTGGTGGGTGATCGCGGTAAGGACACAGTCAAAGCAAGCGCATTGGCTAGCCGGGGTTTGACTGACAACCCTTTCACCCAATCCTGGACCTTTTTATTGGGAAGAAAATTAAGAGGCCGCAGCAAAATTTTCAGTTTCTCTCATTTCTCAATTCATGGGTGTGTGCCTGAGTAAAATATACATTTTTTTTTTGCAAACTGCAGCCTGGCTCTTCCCTGCTTCTCACTGAAGGGCTTCTTCCTTGTTTTGTGGGTCTTCAGTCCTGCTTCTAGGAGCCTGATATGAACTGTCCTAGCAGTGCACTTCACACCTGCACTTAATGCTTCCCATTCCTTCTGAAGGTCACTTGAGGTCACCCTCACCTTCTGCCCTCTGCCTGGCTGGTTTTTGGTTATTGCCAGAGTCTCCTGCTTCACCTTGTTCTTGCGTACTGCTGCCGTAGAAACTTTGAACTTGGAGCCAACATACAGCCACTTAGTATAGCCTTCTGCTAGCAGAACCAACATTAAACCAGGATTTGAAAATGCAGATTTTTTTTAAATATAGCGTCATCTCTTAATTTTTTTTCCTGAGCTGTAGTTTCAGGGGTTATTGGGCTTTCAGGCTGAACAAAAGTGATTTTATGGACTGATTAGCAGATGGAGGGAAGGAGCGTCTGCTGACTGACATTATTAGTTAATTACTAATTCTGCTGTTCGCATTATTAATACTGTCATGATCCCCCTTTTTCCTCGTCCGCAGATCACTACTCTAGTGACCACCGCCTTCCTGATCGCCAAAGTCAGCACCTCCACTGTGAGTTTCGTCCTCTGAGTGTCTGTGTGTGTGGGTCATGTATCTATTACATCATGGGGACCCAATGTCCTCACAATGTGACAAAACCTGTTGTTTTGGCCGCCTTTTTGGTCCTCACAAGGGGAAACTCAATTTTATAAAAATCTGTGACTGCAATCAAAAAATGAAAAAATGCCCAAAGTCTTCTATTTAGTTTGATCATTTGCGGTTAAGGTTAGGGCTGGGTAGGGGTTAAGGTTGTCATTGTGATTAGGGTTTTGCCACTAGAAATCAATAGAGAATCCCCACAAGGATGCGAATAGACGTGTGTGTGTGTGTGTTTAGTGAGTGAGTGAATGATTCTTTTGGCCATCCATTTCCATTTCTGGTGGTGGCATGATGGTATGCCTCTAAGTTAACTGGATCAACATGCCGACATCAGAATGGTGTTCTGGAAGGAAAGACCACTGCATGTGATCCTAACTGTTGCTGTGACTTTCAGTTTCGTGATCATTTTGGGTTTTTTTTTCTTTCTCGAAAAGGAAGCAAGAGGGCAAGAGAAGTACAGTTTATGGTTTATTGGTGACGCAAACAGAAGCGGCCTTTTGTTTTCCCGAAATGTTTTTTCCCCTCAGTACTTTCTCTGGAATATGAAATTCTAATCGGGCATCTCAGTGGGCGGCACTGTCACCTCACATCTAAACGGGCATCTCAGTGG